TTTTTTTTTTTTTTTTTTTTTTTTTTAATTGGGGATTGAACTCTGGCCCTTGCACTTGTGAGGCAGGCAGTGGAACCACTGAGCCAAATCCCTGGCCCCATGGCCCTGTGAATGTTTTAAACAGTTTACTCTGAAAATCCATTTTAAAGTTGAAATCAGGTCATGACACATTGCTTCTCTGAACACTTCCATCAGATTTGTAATAAATCCTAATCAAGCCTCCTGCTTCCCCTCCCAAATTGATCTTTCTTTCCTTTCCTTCTGTACTGTGCTGGAGTGGAACACAGGGCCTTGTGCCATACCCCAGCTCCATACCATGCTTTTAATAATCCAGTCTGGTTTTTTCCCAAAGCTCTTTGCTTTCTCTTTCCCCTCTCCTGGGTCCCTGTCATTTCCCTGTACAACACATAGTAGTTGCCTTTGTCTTTGTGTTCGCCCAACACTGAGCTCCATGTGGCCTGAACTGGGTGTACCTGTCCTACCCCGTGTCCCTGTGCAGTGCTGGCCCCTGGGTACCTTGGGGATGAAGCCAGGAGTATTGGCCTGCTTCCCTTTGCTGGCGGCAGCGGGGGGCCGGTGCCAAGGTGTGCACCCTGTCCTCTGCATTTTATATTGGGGTGTGCATGGCTTGTCATAAATATCTGGAGTAAAAGGGAGAGGTCCTGGGTAGGCAGTGGGCCACAGGTGGAGATGAGACATGAGGGCCAGCTCTGGGTGACTGCTGGGATTTTTTAAATGCATATCCAGAGGCGCCTCAAGCTTTTTCCCCCCACCTGTGCCTCCACCCTCAACACAAGTTGAGCAGCTTAAGCTCCCAGTAACATCCTAGATATGGGGTTCCCGGAGCAAGGGCTTTTGAAAGTGACTCAACTCCTCTGCTCTTCTTGAACACAATGAACTAGGGATTTTCCCCTCTCCAGTAAAGCAGTCCACTTTCCTTGGGTGGCCTGGTGTTGATTTAGAATCCCCGGGAGCTGGTGCTGTCCCTGGCACCTTGGAGATGTTTCTTCTGGAAGCCTCTTGTGCCAGCTTCTACCCAGCCCCGACTCCACAGTGTCACAGTGTCCATCAACCAGGGTCCCCCCCTGTGGCCCCTCTGTCTCTTGCCTGGTGTGCAAGAATCCCTGCCTCCCAGGGATACCTGGCCCTTAGATGGCTCTCCTCCAGTCCAGGAGGCTGGGAGCGGGACCCTGCAATATCAAGTGCTTTTCCTTTAGATGTTGGGTGTGGAAGCAGGCAACGGAACTGGCCTTGTCTTCCACCTTCCACTGCTCGGCCAGAGGCCGCTTGTTGATAGTGATCTGCTAAATGGCTACAGAGAGCATAGGAAGAAGCACACTGGAGTCAGTGCTGCTGGGGCCTGGGGGAGGCATGTCGTGAAGCTTCACGTGTGACCCCAGGAAGCCAGCCTGTGTCCATTCCCCATCTCCTCTCTCAGCCTTGTGTAGCTCGAGGAGCACCAAGCTGCTTCTCTGTGCCAGAGTTACATGGACCCCTGCTCGCAGCTCGCCACCACTCTCGAGAGCCAGTTACTTCTCTTCTGTGTGCATCGTGTCCCCTCAGAGTGATCTGTCCTCACTGCAGTATGATGGTCCTGTTCCCCGATGGCTTTGTGGTTTGGCTTGGCCCAAGGAATCTGAGCCACCACAAATGGAGGAGGCAGCTGAGTTTCTTGAACATACAGCCTCAGAGACTTGTGCAGCGGCCAGCAGCGGCCAGTGAACCCCAGCAAAGCTGGCTGGAGCTTTCAACCAGGAAAGGGAGTGGGTGCAGAGCTCTGAGGCCTAGGGGCTGGGGCAGAACTGGGGCAGGTCCATTTAAGAGATTTCCAAGGCATGGATTCAGGCACCTTTCTTTAAGGCCAATACCCAAACTACTATGAAAGTGGTCCCTTCTCCCTGTTCTTGCCTGCCTGGGCAGCTTGGGGTCTCAGTACTACCAGCTACCCCGATGTTCATTTTATCTGTGAGATACAATCAAAGGCAGCTGCCCAGAGGGCTGATGAATAGGTCTGGAGTCTGGCAATTGCACCTCCTGACAGTCAGCCCCCACCCCCCGAGAGCAGGAGGGATTGATCATGGTTCACTTGCATTTGGGCCAACCTGAAAACGTCTCCTGTGCTGTTTAATCCACACCAGGGAGAGAAGAGGGGCAAGTCGCAGGACTTGGGCCCAACCCTCCCTTCTTTCTGGGAGGCCTGAGCAGGTGATGTTGGGGAGCCACATTCAGTCCCCCAGGATCTTCTCCAGGCCGTTTTCTTTTAAGTTTCACCTGAAAGTAACTGAGAAAGCTGTGCTGAACCTAGTACTTCAGCATGGCTCTGGGGAAATCAATTTACCGTCGTCCTTGTTTACCTTCTGGCTAATAAGTGGAGATGCTGGGCTAATCTAGCCCTCTGAGGCCTGGGAGTCACGCCGAGCATGCTCTCTTTGGGTGGCTAGAGGGGAGAGCCCTTTCTTTTGTCCACCCTTTGATTAAGTGGGCCTTTGCTGCTGCTGGCTTTGTCCCCTCTGGGATTTGGGGCGGGGTTGGAGAGCCTGTGTATGTGTGATTTATCTGCACATTCTTTTTCCTCTCTGCAATTCCAGGGTCATGCTGCGGCAGCCTGGCGCCTGACAAGTGAGGGGGAACCTGCCAGGAGATTACCGCTAGTGCAAGCTTCGGCAGGACAGACTGGCCTCGGGGGAGCGGGGATGGGCAGAGCAGCTCCAGGCAGGGGGCCTGGGCCCTGGTGGGAAGGGCTCCGCACGCTGTGATGACCCAGGTGGCTTGGATGCAGTCCTCCATGAGCAGCAGCTGTTCCTGGCCCCAGAGGACCCCACAGCAGAAGTAGGTGCTTCCTGATCCCCTGCACCACAGCAGCTGGGAATGTGAGCACCAGGAGAAGAGAGCAGCACTTGGATGGGTCGCAGTGGGGCAGAAGCCAGCAGCAGGAGATCTTGGGCTCTGCAGCCGTTTCCTGATGCCCACAGAGCTGCGGTTTTCCTTCTGTCACTGTTGGAGCCTGTCTCCCCTCCCCTGGCAGCCAGGGTGGGAAGGGCTGTTGCGTGGAATGCAGCCCCCTGAAGCCATGTGTGCTCCGTTGTGATCAGAGTTCAGGGCTTTCCCGCTGTGGGGCTGCCTCGGCGTCTGCTCATGAGCCACAAGGACCCCGACTGCTCCAGACTGGACCTTTTCAAGCCACCAAAGAGGGGAACCTCTGGAGCTGGCGGCCAGCAATCCCAAGGGACTAGAGGGCTGGCATGGACTGAACTCCCCCTCACCAGGGTGGCTGGAGAGTCAGAGGCTTTGTGGCCCAGCTAGTGGCAGAGAAACCGGATGAAGCCCTAAGCAGGGGCTGAAGTGGCTCAGGGACAGGGGAGCTACTCCTGCCAACGAGCTTTCTCCTCAGAGGGAGGAGGGCTTGCTTAGGGTCCCCTGCCACAGCACGTGCCCCTATGCCCTTGGCACATACTGCCACAACAGGCAGGCTGCGCCGTGGCCAGCCCCTCAGTGGACTGGGAAAGGAGTGGCCACGGTGACAGCCCCCTGCACACCAGCACCATGAAGTGTTCCCTGCGGGTGTGGTTCCTCTCGGTGGCCTTCTTGCTGGTGTTCATCATGTCCCTGCTCTTCACCTACTCGCACCATAGCATGGCCACCTTGCCCTACCTGGACTCTGGGGCCCTGGGTGGGACACACCGGGTAAAGCTGGTGCCTGGCTACGCTGGCCTGCAGCGCCTGAGCAAGGAGGGGCTCTCGGGCAAGAGCTGCACCTGCCGCCGCTGCATGGGTGACGCCGGTGCCTCCGATTGGTTCGACAGCCACTTTGACAACAACATCTCCCCCGTCTGGACGCGAGAGAACATGGATCTCCCTCCAGATGTCCAGAGGTGGTGGATGGTGAGACCCATGGCCCTCCTGCCTCTGCTTTGCTGTCCTCTCTCCAGGAGCCTGGCCCCTTGTTTTGGAGTCACTCTTAGAGCCCCCTGTGGTTTGGGCTCTCTGTCTTCTGGACCCCAGAGTCTTGTCAAAGTGGGAGGCCTGCTTGATCAGAGGCATGGAGTGGGATCACAGATTATTTAAGGCCAAAGCAAGCTTTGACCTGAAAGTAGAAAGAGAACTAGTATTTTTTCAATGCCTGTAGGAGCCCAGCATAGATGAGAAATGGCTCTTGGCCCAGGCAGGTAGCACAGACAAGGGAGCAGCCCAGGTGAGAATATGGGAAAAATGAGGGGTTTGCCATGGGCAGTAGGCAGCCACGCCTCAGCCCCAGCTAGTGCCACAGTGCCGGGATATGGCTCTTGTTGCTGCCTCTTTGGACCTCTTAGGTGGCCCCAGAAACTAAATTTTGAAACTATTTTACTGGGGATGTGTTGGCTCAGAGTAGTTATAAATACCACGAGAGCCCCTCTTGGTTCTTTACAATTGCCAGAAAAGACTGTGCTCTGGGCTGGAATAAGAAAGCATTGCCAGCGGGTGTGGTGGTACACACCTGTAATCCCAGCACTCAGGAGACTGAGGCAGGAGGTTTGCTACAAGTTCCAGACCAGCCTGTGCTACATACTGAGTTCAAGCCCAGCCTAAACTACATAGTGAGACCCTGTCCCAAAAAACCAACCCCCAGGAAAGAAAAATCACTGCCAGATACCCTCAGAGGCGGCTAAGGGAAGGGATGGTCCCCCGACTTCAGGTCCTGACACCTTTTTGCTTCTCTCACTGCCCTTGGCCTGGAACCCATCATTTCTGGAGCATCCTCTCGGCTGCAGTGCCACCTGGCTGCTGTCTGGGCCAAGGGTGGAGCAGGGTAGCTTCTGGTCCCTGGTTTCCCCTGTCAGAAAGTGGGAACGGGGTGACTCCCTTTTCTCTTGCTTTCAGGAACATTGTGAGGATGAGCTTGTGTGACCAGATTTATCAGAAAACCAGGTCCTGCCTTCTGACCCAGACTTGGAGGCCCCTCGGCATCTGTGTCTGCAATGCAAGGGCTCCTAGGTGCTCCACGGGTCCTTATCATTGCAGCCCAGAGCCCTCGAAGGTTCCTGCCTGCTGCTTGTATTCACAGCCTTCATTTTACAGGAAACTTATGGCTCTGAGGGTGTACAAAGTCTGTCCATGGTGAGACAGTGTGGGCAGTGGCCACATACAGCTAGAAGAGGACTATGGGCAGCGGTGAATGCTTAGGAGCAGGACAAGCGTCCTGCCCACTGGGTTAGACCAGCAGCTGTTGGAGCACCAGATGTGTGCCTTAGTTGAGAGGCTTCCCTGCTCCCCGCGGCCAGGCTCCCTCTCCAGTGAGATCTCCCATCCTCTGAGAAGCTCCTGCCTGCCCTGCCTGTCCACACACTCATGGAGTTGAGTTCGGCCTACAGTATTTTAAAGCCCTGGCTTCTACATTTACCAATTGGAGGCTCATGCCATGGGCCAAATCCACTTTACTAAGTGCTTTTATTTTTTTGGCACTGGGAATTGAACTCAGGACCTTGTGCTTGCAAGGCAGTTGGCAGAACCACTGAGCTAAATCCCCAGCCCACTAAATGCTCTTAAAATATTTGCATTAGAAACAGCTGGGCAGCCAGTCCTGGTGGCGCATGCCTGTAATCCCAGCACTTGGGAGGTTAAGGCAAGAGGATCGCTGGGAGTTCAAGGCCAGCCTGGGCTACATAATGAGACCTTGACTCAAAAAACAAAACAAAACAAAACAAATCAAATTGCATTAAGTTACCAACATTAGAAATGAGGGCTGGGGATTTAGCTCAGTGGTTCCACTGCCTGCCTCGAAAGTACAAGACCCCAAGTTTGATCCCTGGTACCACAACAAAAAAAAAAAAAAAAAAAAAAAAAAAAAAGAGGATATTTCACATAAAATTTGATTTAGCTTTTCTTATACAGATTGTAATAATTGGCTGCATTCGTCTCTCATGCTGTCTCTGCCTCTGACTTTGGCTCTGTCTGTCTGTCTGTGTATCTTTCTTCAGTGCTGGGGAACAAACTCCGGGCCCCACACATGCTAGCTAGGCTAATGCTTTTCCACTGAGCCGCCTCTGAATTTGCTCTGACAGGCCATATGGCCTCTTGTTTGCTGTGGGCCCCTCTTCTGTACCATACCTGTCACCTGCCTGGGCCTCAGAAAGCACTGAACTGCTGTTGCCCCACCTTATTTTATGTTCGTTGACCCTTAGTGGTTCGGATTCCAGCAGGTGGTGGGAGATGTAGGGGACCAGTTATTCCCACCGTATGGCTTTGCGGCTGAGTCTCAGGGGTGCCCCCTCAGGTTGACTGGGAAGGAGTGCAGGGAAATTGCTTTGCTTCATGGCACAGACCTGCTGGGCCCCTTAAAAATGTGTCGAATAGCACCTTGGCCCTGAGTGGGTCAGAGGAGCCTATGCCTGGCAGGGGGCCGGCTCTGAACAGTGAGGCCCACTAGGAACTAGGTGGGAAGGGTGGTCCTCACTGCTAGGGAGCCCCTGTGCCCCACACCCGAGGCAGGGAGGGGTGGCTGGCACCCTTCCTTCACAGCTCTCTCCCCACCACAGATGTTGCAGCCCCAGTTCAAGTCGCACAACACCAACGAGGTGCTGGAGAAGTTGTTCCAGATTGTGCCAGGCGAGAACCCCTACCGCTTCCGCGACCCCCGGCAGTGCCGGCGCTGTGCCGTGGTGGGGAACTCGGGTAACCTGCGGGGCTCTGGCTACGGGCAGGACGTGGATGGGCACAACTTCATCATGAGGTGAGCCCTGCTGGGAGGGGCAGCTGGGACAGGCCGCTGGGAAGGCATAAGTTGCCAACTGCCAGGGTCCCTAAGGAAGTGTGGCCTGTGAGCTTTCAGTGATAGCTGTGCAGGGTGGGGAGGTGGCAGCATTTCAAATCTAAACTTCACTGGAGGCCTGCATCAGCTTCCAGGGCTCTGAAAAGGGCCAAACCTAGAGCCCTGGCTGGTATTTGATAAAAACTCCCACCAGAGGCCCTTCCTAGCTGCCTGGTGCTCTCAGCAGTAAGACCAGATGTGAGGACTCCAACCCAAACTAGCATTGTGCATTATAGTCTTTTTTTTTTTTCGGTACTGGGGATCGAACTTGGGACCTTGTGTTTTGAGGCAGGCGGCAGAACCACTGAGCTAAATCCCCGGCCCCGTGTTGTGCATTATAGCAACAGGTGACTCTCCTTGGGAGGCTCATGGAAGCTCCATGTCCTGGGTGGGCAGAAAAAGGAGCTGTCCTGGGCTTGTTCTGGGCAGCTACCCTGTCCTTTCATCCTTATAAAGCTTTTAGATATCTCCGTGCCCAGCCGCAAGCAGAAGCTGGGAGGGAAGTTGGGTGCAGGAGCCCATGCCTGTAATCCCAGCTACTCAAGAGGATCGAAAGTTTGAGCACAGTCTGGACAATTTAGGGAAACCTTATCTCAAAATAAAAAAGAAAGGGCTGGGGATTTAGCTCAGCCTGCCTCGCAAGCACAAGGTTCCGAGTTCAGTCCCCGGTACAAAAATTTAAAAAGTGAAAGCTACAGCTCAGTAGTAGAGCACTTGCCTAGCACAAGTGAAGCCTAAGTTCAATCCCCAGTACCGCAAAAAAGAGAGAAGGGGAGGGTGAGGGGAAAGAAAGGAAAGTTAAATTGGGCGAGCATTCTGTCCAGACAGAGAACACAGGGTGGACTCAGGTACCCCACGTGGCTCTTCTCTTGGTTCAGACCCTGTGTCTTTCTCACCTGACTTAGCTGGGGACAGGATATGCCACAGTGGAGATCCTTTACCACTATTTCACAGTGGAAGAACCTTAAGAATAAAGATAATGCCAGTCATGGTGGTGCATGCCTGGAATCCATGCTGGGAGGCTGAGGCAGCGGATGGTTAAATTCAAGCCCAGCCTGAGTGACTTAGTGAGACTGTCTCAAAATGCAGCTCAGTGTGAAGGCCCTAGGCTCAATCACCAGTACTGGGGGAAAGAAAGAAAAAGATAGTCAGAGGCATACATGTGTAATCCTGGCTACTCGGGGCTGAGGCAAGAGAATTATAAGTTCACAATAGCTAGACCTTGTCTCAAAAACCAAAGAAAGAAAAAGGACTGGGGATATAGCTCAAGGATTGAGTGCTTGCCTGACTTGCTCAAGGGCCTGGGTTCAACTCCCAGGGCCATAAAAATAAAAGAAAAAGAAAAAACAAAGATACTGAAAACACATGCTTTTGCTAAGCACCTTAGGATGAGCATTGAAGAAAGACCAGGTTTCCCAGGGGGTGGAAGGGCTCTGTCTTAGAAACTGTTGCTGTCTCCATAGCAACACTGAGGCAGCAATATGTCTCTGAGGCTTTCCACATTCCTTGCAAGACCTTCTTCGTATTGGGAGACGGTGCTGGGCAGGGGAGAGAGGAGGACACCGGACCTCACCCAGCACCCCGGAGGCACCTGGGATCATCCCCATCCTCCAATCGCTGATGCCTCAAGTGGGAGGGGGCTCGCTCCCCACAGAGGTTGCTGAGATTGAGGAATGAAGCCCCCCCTTCCTCCAGGGTAGTCCCAGGGCATTCGGGGAACCCAGGCCCTGAGCACCTTCACTGAGTGGGCGCTTTGATTAGGCCCCTCAGTGGTGCTTGGGGAGTGCCAGGGTCGAGTTTGTCTAGCCTCAAAAGTCCTATGACACCTAGGACACACGGGTGGTAGCTGAGATGTGGTGTTTTGGAGTGAACTGCAGAATCACCTGCCGGGTGGATTGACTCAGGTGGTGACTGGCTGGCTGTCAGGCTGTAGAAGCAGTCAGGTGGCAGTGGGGGTGACTGTCCACATCCTTGTCTGAAATGAGACTCCGTGGTGAGAACCACACTGAGATATAATGAGATGGTGGTGCTGCCTCCTGAATGCCTTCCTCTTCCTCCTCTCTTTTTGGTGGGGGCAGGGTCTCACTGTGTAGTGCAGGCTGGCCTTGACCTCACTGTGTAGCCCAGGTTGGCCTCACACTGTGAGCGATCCATCTGCCTCAGTCTCCCAAGTGCTGGGACTATAGGTATGCGCCACTGTGCCCAGCTTGCCTCGTTCCTAAGTCCCCTAAGCCCTGGCGACTACTCCAGAGTAGGTGGAAGCAGGCTGTTCTGCCTCAGTTGGCCAGCCGGTATATCTGCAGCTCCTAGTTCAGCACCTGGTGGGGGGAAGGCTATACATATAGGAATGAATGAATGGAGGAGCAGCCTCAAGGTGTTGCCTGCGTAAGAGTGTGTATCCACCCACCTTGCACCCTGCACCTCAGTGCTTTGGCTGCTGCAAGCACCTACGATAGATGAGTTTCTGGAATATTGCCTCCCACTCCCAGAGATCCAGCTCGTCCTCTCCCCTTTTCAGGACTTGATTTCTCCAGAATGAATCAGAGCCTCAAAACAAAATCCTGTCTCAAAAAGAATGCACATTCCAGCCAGGTACGGTGGTGAACACCTGTAATCCCGGCACTCTGGGAGGCTGGGGCAGGAGGATCATGAGTTCAAGCCCAGCTTGGGCAGTGACATTCCTTCCCTTCCCCACGGAGATACAAAGCATCTTCTGGGGCCTCTTGTGCATTCCTCTCACCCTTGCTGGCTGGTGTCTAGGCAGTGGGTGCTGCCGCAGGGCCGTCCACAGGGCTGAAAGGCAGGTGGTTCCTCCTCGAGGTCTAGGAGAGATTGGAAAGCGCACTGGCTCCACGGGATGGTGGAGAAAGCTGACAGTGGGTTCCAAAACCACAGAGCCCAAGGTACCTGGGCAGGGGGCAGGAGGCAGGTGCAGACTGCAGTTCCCAACCTATGCAGCAGTGTTCATGGGAGGGGAAGATAGCGGGAGACGGTGTCTCTGTTCCCTAAAGGCCAGGAGACTGAAAGACATTTTGTCTGAGGTCTTAGATCTGGGACAGGGAAGCAGGATGTAGATCCCTGCTCTGGACAGGAAACCCTGTAAGGTTCTGTAGGGAAGATTCTAGGCATCTGCTTGAAGCAGACTAGAATTGAGGGGTTAAGAATAGACACAGCTAGGTGGGGTGGTGCACACTTGTAAACCCAGCACTCTGGGAGGCTGAGACAGGAAGATTGCAAATTCAAGCCCAGCCTGGGCAATGACTTAGCAAGACCCTGTCTCTTAAAAAAAAAAAAAAAAAAAAAAA